TCATCCCCCAGAAAGAATGACCGCTACATAAGACCAGGCGTATGGGAATACACCGGGCTCACTATAGTCCGTACTAAGACAAAAACAGGTGTGAATACGACAGTTACAACCCCGCTCCTGTGATAAATAAGTCCACTATGGGATCTCCACAGCCCGTGCTACTTAGAACTTTTTGTTCAGAGTAGCTGAATATAAAACATCAACAACAACAACGGGAATAGAAGTACAGGGAAGCAGTACGGATCCTTCACATGGTCGTCCCTCAAGAATCCCTCGACAACTTTTGCGACTTCGACACTCTGAAGAAGGAAATTCGACCAGACTACCAACTTCGGGGAACTGGGATAAGGGACATCACTCCTCTTGTAATACCCGCACGTCTATTGACCGACCGACTATGGCCAGCCCCGCCAACTCTATGGCATTAAAACTATGGCATTATGTCACTATGTGGCATTAAACTATGAGCGACGTGTGTATCCCATCTTAGCTTAGATGTCCAAAGGGTTTGGAAAGGTTGGAAGGAGGAAGATGAAAGTCTTGAAGGGGATTTGGGTGGTGAATGAGGAGGCTTGAAAGTTTGGTGGCCTGTCCATCATGGGTTGGCATCAGGTATATCTCGGAGTGGAGCTTGCCGTTATTGAGTTCTTCTTCCGTGGCTGGGGGCTTGTGGTGCGGCGGTTGGTCTTCTTGCTAGTGTAGTTGAGGTTCTTAATCTGGCTTGGAGGAAGCGTCTTCCCGTTTTGGGTGGTGTATGTTTGCTGGCAGTTGATGGTAGGTGTTGGTAGTGTTTCTTCATTCTTGAGTCGTTATTCTTCATGGGTCTTCACTGTTCAATCGCTGGTCTTCAGATTTCAGTGCTTTTCTGTTTTCTTCTTTATTTGCCTCGCAGTTTTCAGCAAACTTGGATCGCTGTTCATCTTGGGTATCGCGGAAGTCGTGGTTGTCTAACTTCTCGTTGACATTGCTGTACGGTCGTTGGAGGTTTTAGGCATGGTGTCCAATAGGAAATCATCTGGTCTGTAGTGATACTTCCGCTGAGGAGGGGATGGTGTTACCACTGAGACATCTTCAACTGACGAATCGTTTGAATCAAAACCTGTGGCGGCTTTCCTTGAAGGTTGAGTAGTAGCAGATCGTGGTGAGAGTTGCAGAGTGATCGCTGTATCTACAGCTGGAGTAAAAGGATCGGTGGATGTATCTGTGGTTCATAGAACGCCAGTAGTAGTCTTAATGGAAGCGGCAGGAACGTTGTCGGCTGGAGAGTCGTCTGCCTCTACTGGGACAGACAGAGGTTTAGCAGCAGGTGTTGCAAGCTGAGCAGCTACCGAGGCAGTTAATGATGAAGGCACTTGCCCTGCAGGAAGCACCGTCTCAGGAACTCTGAAGGTAGTTAAGTCATCTGCAGCAAACTATGTGTTTAGAGTTGTGACAAACAAACTATTGTAAGATCCAGCAATCCTCTCAGCAAGGAGCAGCAGAGCAGGTACAAGACCAGCGTCTGAAGTAGGTCTAGACTGGGTTGTTGATTGGACGTTAGGCCCCCAATGAGGAGGCTGGCAGGTCCGGGGCCTAGAGGCGCCGTTTGGCAGATCAGGTAAATCTTCTGGAGGGTTGGGGGGGACGCTGACGGAAGCGGCGTCGCTTGTGGTTGAAGAAGGTCTCTTTGCATCATCCTGTTTCTTCATTTCCTCCTTTCGACGTGGGGCAACAGTGTGCAACATGGTTACCACTGCAAAGCAGTCAACGATGAAATTCTGCCTTGCAAATGGAGTAGTGGTGGTCTTTTGCGCAGACGCTGCACTTGGTGATGCGTTCCAGACATTTCTTGGTGGAGTGTGTATACGTGTACCACTTGAAGCATTATTAGTCCGCTTCAGCAATGGCGGAGAAGTATTTTTTCATGGACAAGCAGACACCGGAGACCGAGTGAACAATGACAGTGACATCAGTTGGTATCACAGGAGAGTCCTCAGCTTCGATTGCGTCCACAAGTTTCTGGATGTCTCGGTTGATGATCCACTTGCCGGGTCTCCTGATGAAGACAGTTCTCTCAGCAAGGTGCCGGCGAGAGAATGTTATGCTAATATGCGCTTCTTCAAGTGCGGTGCGGATGGAAAATGAATCGAAGTGGTCGATGTTATCCTCTTGTGAGTAGAAGAGAACAACATCCGTACCCTCCGTCAGGTGCGATGTTGGTGCAGGTGGAGAGGGTTTGCAATAGGTCGGTCTTGCTGAACGCATCGTCGTCCAGGAAGGTAGCCCACATTCTCTGGAAGGTAAACTTGGCTTTGTGCACCATGGCAAAGGCTAAGTTGAGGCGATACAGCTGATCAATTCACTTGTCTGAGGAGTCTTATGGTATTGGATTGGATAGGCGCGTCCACGGACCCTATCCCCAGAACTCCAGTATCAGCTATTGATACTGATAATGGCCCTAAAGAGCCTCCAATTACGGACTCTCCATAGCCCGTGCTACATAAAACTTTTGTCTCAGTAGCCGAATGTAAAACAAACAGCAACAACAACGTGCTTTTCAGTACGCGTCATTTACAAACAAACCATCTACTTCCACTTCATACATCATTGCCGTCTCCAGCAACACACTGGCAGAGTTCTCCAGCAACACACTGGCAGGGGTCTCCAGCAACACACTGGCAGGGGTCTCCAGCAACACACTGGCAGAGTTCTCCAGCAACACACTGGCAGAGGTCTCCAGCAACACACTGGCAGAGGTCTCCAGCAACACACTGGCAGGGGTCTCCAGCAACACACTGGCAGAGTTCTCCAGCACCACTCTGGCAGGGGTATCAAGCAACACACTGGCAGAGGTCTCCAGCAACACACTGGCAGAGGTCTCCAGCAACACACTGGCAGAGGTCTCCAGCAACACACTGGCAGCGGTCTCCAGCAACACACTGGCAGGGGTCTCCAGCAACACACTGGTAGGGGTATCAAGCAACACACTGGCAGGGGGGTCTCCAGCAACACACTGGCAGGGGTCTCCAGCAACACACTGGCAGAGGTCTCCAGCAACACACTGGCAGGGATCTCCAGCAACAAACTGGCAGGGGTCTCCAGCAACACACTGGCAGGGGTCTCCAGCAACACACTGGCAGAGGTCTCCAGCAACACACTGGCAGAGGTCTCCAGCAACACACTGGCAGGGGTCTCCAGCAACACACTGGCAGGGGTCTCCAGCAACACACTGGTAGGGGTATCAAGCAACACACTGGCAGGGGGGTCTCCAGCAACACACTGGCAGAGGTCTCCAGCAACACACTGGCAGAGGTCTCCAGCAACACACTGGCAGGGATCTCCAGCAACAAACTGGCAGGGGTCTCCAGCAACACACTGGCAGGGATCTCCAGCAACAAACTGGCAGGGGTCTCCAGCACCACTCTGGCAGAGGTCTCCAGCAACACACTGGCAGAGGTCTCCAGTACCACTCTGGCAGGGGTCTCCAGCAACACGCTGGCAGAGGTCTCCAGCAACACGCTGGCAGAGGTCTCCAGCAACACGCTGGCAGAGGTCTCCAGCAACACGCTGGCAGAGGTCTCCAGCAACACGCTGGCAGAGGTCTCCAGCAACACATTGGCAGGGGTCTCCAGCAACACGCTGGCAGAGGTCTCCAGCAACACACTGGCAGAGGTCTCCAGCAAAACACTGGCAGAGGTCTCCAGCAACACGCTGGCAGAGGTCTCCAGCAACACGCTGGCAGAGGTCTCCAGCAACACACTGGCAGAGGTCTCCAGCAACACACTGGCAGAGGTCTCCAGCAACACACTGGCAGGGGTCTCCAGCAACACTCTGGCAGAGGTCTCCAGCACCACTCTGGCAGAGGTCTCCAGCAACACACTGGCAGGGGTCTCCAGCAACACACTGGCAGAGGTCTCCAGCAACACACTGGCAGGGGTCTCCAGCAACACACTGGCAGAGGTCTCCAGCAACACACTGGCAGGGGTCTCCAGCAACACGCTGGCAGAGGTCTCCAGCACCACTCTGGCAGAGGTCTCCAGCAACACACTGGCAGGAGTCTCCAGCAACACACTGGCAGAGGTCTCCAGCAACACACTGGCAGGGGTCTCCAGCACCACTCTGGCAGAGGTCTCCAGCACCACTCTGGCAGGGGTCTCCAGCACCACTCTGGCAGAGGTCTCCAGCAACACACTGGCAGACTTCCACTCAGGCTTATAACAAGACTTAACAGATGGACAGTACTTCCATCTCGTAACTCAACTTGGCCATCCCGGGGTACGCCGGTCCAGTCACCAATACTTCACTAAGTATTACAAACAAGTCACTGTCTACGCCGACATCGGCCACTTGTTCCCACTGGAACACGTCTTGAGTTCAGGACTGCCCTGGGTGATCTCAGTCTTGACGACCAGGATAATCGATAAATACCCACATCACTTCTGCAGACTAAAAATGTGGTTAGTAAGACTGAAACTACACAGGGATCAAATACGATCACAGCCTTCTACCGGGGAACTGAAATTGGGGTCGAGTGCGCTCCACAGATGGCGTTGACATCGTCAAGCCTTCCTTCCTAAAAGAATTGGGGGTTGGGTGCATCCTACAGTTGGCTTGACATCATAAGAACATAAGAATAAAGGTACCTGCAGAAGACCTATTGGCCCATACGAGACAGCTTCTATTTATAACAACCCAATCCAACTCATATACATGTCCAACCCACATCGTCGCACCTCCCTTCCTAAACGAATTGGGTGTGCTCCACAGATGGCGTCGTTATCGTCTCACCCAACTATTACATTTAGGTTGAAACACTGTAATAATGTCGATGAAGATGATGGATAACCAAATTTTTTTCATGAACTCCCTCATAAGTGCATTGCTGAATAATGCTTTCACATTGCTACCAATGGCATGCTTTCTCAGTGACGTTAGTTGATTTTCAATTGTAAAGAAATAACACAATATTTATTGGTACCTTGTATATACACTCTGAAGAGGAATAATAAAAATCATAGGGAGATGTTTCAGATCTATATTTTTTGTTTAATTTTTTTTTTATTTAAAGTAAGGAAATGGGTCAGTCAGTTGACAACAGTAAAAGTTTAGCCATAGTACCCATAGCCTCCATAGCCTCCATAGCCTCCGTATCCTCCATAACCCCCATATCCACCATAGCCTCTTCCGAAACCTCCGAAGCCACCAAAGCCGCCTAGGTAACCAGGCTTAGCTTCAGGCTGAGCAGCAGGCGTAGCTTTAGGGTCAGCAGCAGGCTTAGCTTCAGGCTTAGCAGCAGGCTTAGCTTCAGGCTTAGCAGCAGGCTCAGCGCTCCTCTTTCCACGGTAGAAGCCTCCGTATCCTCCATATCCTCCATATCCTCCGTATCCTCCATATCCTCCATATCCTCCGTATCCTCCATATCCTAACCCAAAGCCTCGACCGAAACCTCCAAAGCCACCGAAGCCACCTAGGTAACCAGGATTAGCTTCAGGCTCAGCGCTCCTCTTTCCACGATAGAAGCCTCCGTATCCTCCATATCCTCCGTATCCTCCATATCCTCCGTATCCTAACCCAAAGCCTCGACCGAAACCTCCAAAGCCTCCGAAGCCACCAAGGTACCCGGGCTCAGCCTCTGGGGCAGCGCTTGTGTCCACCAAGCAGAAGGCGGCCAGGGCGGCAACAATGACCTGTTAAGTAAACACACAATTTTAACTTACTTTTATTTGCTTATTTTTCAATGAAAGTACTAAAATATGCCGGTAAAGATTGCATAGATATTTAAGCAATAATTTAATCAGTTGCATGCAAGAAAATATGACCTATAATGGTTTTAAATACATACTACTAACATGTAAAAGTTCCTAAATTAGCAGGTATAATTATAAACAAGTATTAAATAGTAGATCTGTCCAAAAAAATGTAAAGCAAAGAAACGCAAAATTACTGTTAATATCAAGCTAGAGCCAGAAGGAGTACTAACCAGGGTCTTCATGGCTCAGGAGTGTCAGTGTTGACTGTGGCAGCTGGAGGCAGCGTGGCCTTATATACCACACAGGGGCGGGGCCACCCAAACCCTCTCAGTGTTCTTCTATATTCAAGGTCACTAGGAACTCTTTATGCTCTCCACACGTGAACCTTGGCAAGTTGTATATATAGTGTGTTAAGAAAGATGAAATTTTTTGTATTTATTGACTTATTAAAACATATAGTGTATTAATTATATAGATCCCTAGAAAATGGACAGTTAGAATTCCTTCATATTGAAATTATTTACCATCAAACAAAATATCTCAGAAATTTTTCTGGGATATTTTCTGTTATTTGTTATTGTGCTTCTATTTATTTATTCACTCTGTCATAGTACTTCTGTTGTTTACCATATATATATATATATATATATATATATATATATATATATATATATATATATATATATATATATATATATATATATATATATATATATATATATATATATATATATATATATATATATATGTCGTACCTAGTAGCCAGAACGCACTTCTCAGCCTACTATGCAAGGCCCGATTTGCCTAATAAGCCAAGTTTTCCTGAATTAATATATTTTCTCTATTTTTTTTCTTATGAAATGATATAGCTACCCATTTCATTATGTATGAGGTCAATTTTTTTTTATTGGAGTTAAAATTAACGTAGATATATGACCGAACCTAACCACCCCTACCTAACCTAACCTAACCTATCTTTATATATATATATATATATATATATATATATATATATATATATATATATATATATATATATATATATATATATATATATATATATATATATATATATATATGTCGTACCTAGTAGCCAGAACGCACTTCTCAGCCTACTATGCAAGGCCCGATTTGCCTAATAAGCCAAGTTTTTCTGAATTAATATATTTTCTCTATTTTTTTTCTTATGAAATGATAAAGCTACCCATTTCATTATGTATGAGGTCAATTTTTTTTATTGGAGTTAAAATTAACGGAGATATATGACCGAACCTAACCACCCCTACCTAACCTAACCTAACCTATCTTTATAGGTTAGGTTAGGTTAGGTAACCGAAAAAGTTAGGTTAGGTAGTCGAAAAACAATTAATTCATGAAAACTTGGCTTATTAGGCAAATCGGGCCTTGCATAGTAGGCTAAGAAGTGCGTTCTGGCTACTAGGTACGACATATATATATATATATATATATATATATATATATATATATATATATATATATATATATATATATATATAATATATATATATATATATATATATAATATATATATATATATATATATATATATATATATATATATATATATATATGTTTTTTGTCTGTCTGCCTATCCAAAGTTGGAAGCCACACGCTTGTTGCTAGCCTCACCCAAATTTCCAGAGGGGAATGGTCTGTGATACAATTTTGTCTTGGGGTAAAAGGAAGAATAATAGTAGAAGGAAAACAGAAAAAGAAAACAACACAGAAATCATCGATGTTGTTTGTTAAACAAACAACACAGAAATCGTCGATATTGTTTGTTAAACAAACAACACAGAAATCGTCGATAGATACAGCGATAGCAGGCAGCTCGACATCTGCGAGGCACTACAAATCAAAAAGTTAACACTAGCAATCAACAGCTAATTAATCCACAACTATATTCTACCCACTTCAAGACTCCGTACCAATATAGAAGTATCAAGAGGAAGTATAGGCCAATAGTCCCTTTCCAGTTATTTCCATTCTTCCCTTTCACTTATCCAATTTATACCCATTGCACCGTGTTCTGTCTTGTGTTGGTCAAAAGTTTGTTCACCTCATCCAAAACTGTTTCAAAATATCACTTCACCCAAATGCGAGTATATAAGACAACCTGTTTAGCGTTAGAATTAGTAAAACTCTGTTAAGTGTTTTCAGGTTACAGGTGTGTGTGTGTGTGTAAACTAAAGTCTTTGAAAATCTAATACGAAATTACAAAACGCGTTCAAACGTCGCGTCAGACTAGAAATAAAAATGAATTTTGGAGAATTGATTTTTCAATTACCATCGACAGTAAAAACAAACATAAGAAATATTGAAAAAATTCATTAGAATTATTAATCTTACTTTTTCGATCATAAATAACAACATATATATATATATATATATATATATATATATATATATATATATATATATATATATATATATATATATATATATATATATATATATATATATATATATATATATATATATATATATATTATATATAACTCAAAACTCACATACTGCCAGGAGCACTCTGCAACTGGTGTACAGGACACCTTAACCACTCGACCATCACGACCGGACAAAAGATGGTGGTGGCATTTGAAGGCATATGTCTTTAAATGCCCACTTGGGGACTGTGAGCCCCAAAGAACTCAATATATAGGCAAGACAACAACGTCTCTTTCCAGGCGATTAACAATGCATAAACAACAGGGCTCCATAAAGGAACATATAATCTCCTCTCACAACCAGACCATTACCAGAGAAATCTTAACAAACAACACAGAAATCATCGATAGATACAGGGATAGCAGGCGGCTCGACATCTGCGAGGCACTACACATCAAAAAGTCAACACCAGCAATCAACAGTTATATTCTACCCACTTCAAGACTCCGAACCAATATAGAAGCATCAAGAGGAAGTATGGGTCAATAGGCCCTCTGCAGTTACTTCCATTCTTATGCTCTCATATCCAATTAATACTCATAGTTTCGTGTTCTGTCTTGTGTTTGTCACAAGTTTGTTGACCTCATCCAAAACTGTTGCACCATATCACCTCATCCAAATGCGAGTATAAGTATGACGGATTAGCATGTTTACAGGTTACAGTTGTGTGTGTAAACTAAGTCTTTGAAAATGTAATAAGTTATTACGAAACGCGTTCAAGCCTCGCGTCAGACTAGAAATAAAAAGGAGTTTTTGAGAATTGATTTTTCAGTTATCATCGACAGTGAAAAGAAACATAAGAAATATTGAAAAAAATTGTGTTAGAATGATTAATCTTACATTTTCGGTCATATTTAACAACACACACATACACACACACACACACACACACATTCTTGTGGGTTCCTTGACATGCTGGCTCAGAAAATTCCTTGTTGCCACTTCTAAACTCTTGGAAGTGGCAACAAGGAATTTTCTGAGCCAGCATGTCAAGGAACCCACAAGAATGAGAGGCAATGATGAACCAGCTAGACTCGACTTAATATTCACCCTGAATGAGTCAGAAATAAGGGAAGTCAAAGTTGAAGCCCCCATAGGAATGAGTGACTACAGTGTACTGACCTTTGAGTACTTGGTGGAGGTAGGGATAACCTATCCAAGGATGGGAGTGGAGGGGAAAAGACTGAATTACCGAAGAGGAAAATATGACGAGATGAGGAACTTCCTAATGGGAATACCATGGGAAACAGAACTTAGAGACAAGAATGTGCAGGTCATGATGGATATTGTCACCCAAAAGTGCCAGGAAGCTGCAGACAGGTTTATCCCCGTCCAAAAGGAGAAAAACGAAAAACAACAGAAAAACCCATGGTTCAACCAGGAATGTAAGGTAGCGAAACAACTGAGTAAAAGAACATGGAGAAACTACAGAAATAACAGAACACCAGAGAGCAGGGAGAGGTACCAGAGGGCCAGAAATGAGTACATCAGAGTGAGGAGGGAAGCAGAGAGACAGTTTGAAAATGACATCGCGAGTAAAGCCAAGACCCAACCAAAGCTGCTCCACAGCCATATCAGGAGGAAAACAGCAGTGAAGGAACAAGTGATGAAGCTGCGGAAAGGGGAGAACAGATACACAGAGAATGACAAGGAGGTGTGTGAAGAACTCAACAAGAGATTCCAGGAGGTCTTCACAATAGAACAAGGAGAAGCCCCTGCACTAAATGAGGAGGCGGCAACCTTGGAAACCTTGGAGGAATTTGACCTCACCAGTGATGAGGTCAAAAGGTGCCTGCTGGAGCTAGATGTGACAAAGGCTGTTGGGCCTGATAGAATCTCACCATGGATACTAAAGGAAGGTGCAGAAGCACTAAGTGTGCCACTCTCTATGGTGTATAACAGGTCACTGGAAACAGGAGACTTACCAGAAAGTTGGAAGACAGCTAACGTGGTCCCAATATACAAAAAGGGTGACAGGCAAGAGGCACTGAATTACAGGCCAGTTTCCTTAACTTGTATACCATGCAAGGTGCTAGAGAAGATCGTGAGGAAAAGGCTCGTAGAGCATCTGGAGGGAAATAACTTTGTAACGCACCACCAACATGGGTTCAGAGATGGTAAATCGTGCCTCACAGGTTTAATAGAATTTTATGACCAGGCAACGAAAATTAGGCAGGAAAGAGAAGGGTGGGCCGACTGCATTTTCCTGGATTGCCAAAAAGCCTTCGACACAGTACCCCATAAAAGGCTGTTAAAAAAGTTGGAGCAACAGGCAGGAGTAAAAGGGAAGGTGCTCCAGTGGATAAGGGAGTACTTAAGCAACAGGAAACAGCGAGTAACGGTGAGGGGGAAGACATCAGAGTGGCGAGATGTCACCAGCGGAGTCCCACAGGGCTCAGTACTTGGACCCATCCTGTTTCTAATATATGTGAACGATCTTCCAGAGGGTATAGACTCATTCCTCTCGATGTTTGCTGATGATGCAAAAATTATGAGAAGAATCAAGACGGATGAAGATAGACAGAGACTACAGGATGATCTGGATAAACTGGAGGAATGGTCTAGAAAATGGCTGCTGAAGTTCAACTCTGGAAAGTGTAAGGTGATGAAATTAGGCGAAGGGAGCAGGAGGCTGAACACAAGGTATCATCTGGGAGGGGAAATCCTGCAAGAATCAAATAGAGAGAAGGATCTGGGGGTTGATATCACACCGAACCTGTCCCCAGAGGCCCACATCAAAAGAATATCATCAGCGGCATATGCTAGACTGGCCAACATAAGAACTGCCTTCAGAAACTTGTGTAAGGA